CTAGACCATCTCGGCTTACTTTTGGAGTAGATCTGGCAATTGAAAGCTCCAGTGTAAGTGTGGCCAGCCAAAATATTGAATTTCTCGTTTCCTCTTGTCTCTGATGAAGCTGTCGTCTTCTTGTTTGTTTAACCAAAGACTCTATAATGATGAAGGTCGGTACTTTTGTAATGCGATGCGCGTGCCAGACTCATTTGTACATATCTTACATGTGTGACTGATTTCGATTTTTTTTCAATTTCTAATGAAAAATGGATTTATCAAAGGAGTGAAGTAAAATACTCACTTTAGTATGGAATCAACCAATTGATAGATTAATTCCAAGTAAATTTAGAAAATTAAAAAAAACATTAATCTGGTTTAGTGAAACTTTTATTTTATAGCTTTAGAACAGATTATTCTGGGAAAGTAATTTTATATATTGCTCGTATACGTACCTTATCGCAGATGAACTTTTAGCAGCAAGCAATTTATTACGAAACTTTTATCTTTGTAATGTTTTGCTGAACATATACTGATTGGATGAGGTTTTTTTTATGTTACCACAACTAATGAAATTTTTTCTTCTATTTGTTGATAATTATGATGATAAATCAGTTGGAAAAATAATAAAATGATGACTGAATAAATTATTACCAAGAAAAAAATTATTTTATTTTTGAATAATGAGATTGAATAAATTTCAAGTTTTCCAACAGTAGTGAAATTAATTTGAACTCCAACTTTTAATGAATATTCCATTATCTGTGGATGCATGATCCCATTCGATTTACTGGTAGCTTTGATGAAATCATATACCTTGAATGCATTAAATAAAAAAACTAGTAGAACCAGTGGAGAACAGCCCAGTCTCGAGCAGAAGAATTTGAAATTTTCCCTTAATAAGAAACAGAATAATATAGTAAACGTCTTTTATCTTGAATGAAATGCTATGAGTACTACTAACCATATGCTTTACCTTATTAACATTTTTTGTTGTACCAATTTTTATTCGGTTCTAACATGTAGAGATGCCAGAACAACTTCTGCTTCTATACCACATGAACATACTTGAGCAGCCGTTATGACGACAAATTGACGAAAGGGGTTGTTTACCCTCATAAATGAACATCCTGTGCTATCATCATCATCATCAACGTTATACCTACTAGTTAGAGTCTATTTTTTTCAACTATATTCTTAACTTCATATAATATTAAAAAAGGAGTATATAATGATAGTTTTTCAATAGCTATAAATTAATTTAAGAGAGTTACTAATTTCTAAGAATAAAAAATTTTTCACTCAAAGAGAAACTATAAATTTCAATTGTTAGTCTTCTGACATTTACATCCGGTAAATAAATTATCTAGGTCACTCTAGGGTGGCATAGAAGAACTACGACAAGTGGAAAAAAATTCCTTCCGTGGATTATATGAAAAAGAGACGACGCCAAATCCAGAAGTAAGGAGAAAAGAGAACAAGAAAGAAAAAACATCAAGTGATGTCGGTATAACTTTGGTAAAATGAGAGCCAAGTATTTCGACATGGTGGTAAAATGATGTAGAGGTTTGCTAACCAAACTTGTGGGTCTTTCATGGAACTTTTTAGTGATAGTCCTGTGGTACTTTTCTACGCCTTGTCACGCTGATTTTGTGATATTGAACAGTCTCAAAGCCACCCACGTCTTTTTCGTTTATTCACTTGTATCTCATTTTTTTTTCTTCGTCAAGTGTATCTATATAGAAACTATTTAATGATACAGATTGTCACTTTTTCTTTGGGAAGACGACAGTTTTTTTCATCTTATTCAATGTGTTGTATGATTTAGTGGAGCTTGATACGACATTTTTCCGACAGTAAAACTTATAAATGAAAATTTCTTGAATAATGTTGTATTGGACAGTTTTATAAAAGTTTTTCAACTACAGTTGGAATTGATGTCAGTACTATTTACTAATAAAAGTACTAGTAATAAATAAGCTTAAAAATCTATTTTCATCAATTAAATATCTCCATGTCAAATGAAAACAGTTTTTTAAATTAAATTGAAAGAGAAAAGGGCATTTAAAGAATATAAAAAACAAAGCAAAATACTGGTATGTATTTCTTTATTTCGACTCTTATAAAAAAGTAAACAACGATTTTTGAAAAATCAGTGAGGGGTCCTGGAGTAGAGCAGACACAAGCTGATGTATGGTTAAAAGACGAACAGTGGCTGGTACGATGGCGCATGGGGCTTCAAATTGAATAACAAACGTTTACCCTCCTTGGTTAAATCATCAAAAAGGCACCCCGCTTAGTGAACTGTTCGACATTAACCGCACCCCCTTCCCCTGACGCAAGTCACAGCAAGACCCTCGCCTGTTAAAACCTCGAAACTGCCTGGCTGCTTTGCATAACGATTTTATCCTGTAATCTCTGCCATATTGATCCACCTCCTGCTGCTGAAAAATATTTATTTGATGGAAAACTTGTCCATGCTTTCTTGTTAATCAATTTATTTTACCTCTGATATAAAATACATATAACTTTATTGATATATCAACTAATCTCTTTTCGATAAATAATTTTCTCAACCTGAAAACTTGAGAAATATAAATATTTATAAATAAATTTTTTTATCAACTTCAATTGAATTTCATTAACTTCCCAGTTTTATTATTTAGTATGAATAATATCTTTGCCATTTCTAATTGCATTATTTACACAATATTTTTTTCATCAACTAATTGGGAAGTTAATGTAATAGGATTAATCTTTAAAATTTGTCATTTTGTCATTTTTTTACATTTTAAAATATTTAAAAGCCTGTTATAAATAAAATAAATTGAAAGATGACAAAATTATGGTTTTCAATAGATAGGATCATTTAATGATTTAGAATTTTTAATAAAGAGTTAGTTGATATAAAATTCAATTTATTTGTTATTAAATTATATAATTATTATTCTAAATGAATTCTTATCACGGAGGAGAAGTGATTGAATATGAAAAATTACCTTCAACAAAAATACTATCTGTTTCAAAGTAAATAAAAAATATAACTTTAATTGTTAGTAATAATATTTGATGCAGTTAAAAATAAATTAGTTAGGAAACTGAATAGCCAGATTACAAGGAAATGAGCAAAGTCATCGTTGCTAATAATGTCGAGAGAAGTCGATTATGTTGTGGTCCTCGAAAGCATTAAATCTACCGCGGCATGACTGCACACTATTAATGATTTAACTGCATTTATATGAGGATTGACTCGATGAATTGAACTAATCAAAGTACCCACATATCAAAGCAATCAAGTTTTGGTACATGCTAACTACGTTCAGGTAATTACTAAATTTGATATCTTAACCTTACTAGTTTCGATTTATATAGTTTCGATTTTTTTTTTCAGTATCTTAATTATTCAAGGATATCCACAGACCATCTATACTCGTTTAAAATCTTTGACGTTGAATCTTTATAAATAGCAGTAAAAAAAAAAATTGGCATGACAATTTTTTATTGAGTTGACGGCTTTACGAATAGCTTTGACATATGTGTAAAATTCGAAGTATTGACTGATTAAAAAAAATTTATTTATACACCGTGTTGAATAGAATATAAGAAAATTTTTTTATATTTAAAGAATAGACAAATTATATGGTGTTGAAGTTTTCTTTTCTAACCTTTCCTAACTTAACTTTTCACTAACCAGTTTTACTTTAATATATACTTATTTAAAAAAATAAAAGTGTAGTTTTTATATATGTTATTGAACAAATGTGATGATTCTAAAAAAAAATTTTCTCATGCTATTAACTGTATTTATTTAATTATTTTCGATGTATTTAAATATATCTTTCTATTTTATCGAATAATTTTTCAATTTTTTAGGGACACATGAAAGTGAAAAGTCATAAAAGCCAGTCAAGATGAATTTAAGTTAGATGCAGCATCCCGGAATACTCAAGGAAATAAAGAATAACTGATGATGATAACTTAAAAAAAGGGACGAGCTATATGTAGTTGCATTATGGGAATGAAAAGGGGCTGATGTTATGACGAAACATTTCATGGCTCGTAGGATTTGGTAACTAACGGCCCATGTGATATTACTGCGGTAAAAGCCCTTGCTTTCCTTTTCCCTTTTCATAAGCTGCGAATTTGCTATGTGAATAATCAGCTCATGAAAATTGATCAATACGCGACTTCCGGATATTAATTTAGGATATGTGTAGGAAGCACGTGATCGAAATAATGATAAAAGCTTCTTTCGTACTCACAAAAGCATCATTTATTTTTTTTATCTCTCTCAAATGAACTTCATAATCTTCTATAATAATACTTTAATAATAATTCATTAATCAATAATTAATATTCAATAATAATAATAATAATAATAATAATAATAATAATAATAATAATAATAGTTAGATATTGGATTTATATGGGTGGGCGTGATATGGAGCTCCAACTGAATATAAATTCCACGTTTTTTATTTCATTGAAATATAATAACGAGGACTCTATATTTGTACGATATGAAATAGTTCTTCTAACGAAAGGGAACCCGTCCACCCTGGTGTCAAAAACCGATCGAGGATCGATTCTTAACATATACATATATTTTTAACGATAATTATACATTCGCGTCGAAATGACCGAATTAGTGTATCGACAATGACAATTAATGTACAGCTATATGTGTATTTTTAAATGTGTAATTTTTTGTTTTAGTGTCTTTATACAATATTATATCACTTTAATATAATATTATCTCTCACGCGCTATATATAATATTTACAAATAGAACAAGTAAGAATGTGTGCTTAAGGGATATTGAAATAATGGCGTGTGACCATGGGAGGATTACAACCAAGGAGTTAGAGATTATGTACAGGTGGTGGAGATGAAGGAGAAGAAGATTGTGTTGTATTTGGAGTAGCAGGGTTTTGTGTCATAGTGTATGTATTGTTTTGACGTTGTTGTTGGTAGTGATTTTGATGACGGTGTGATTGTTGTTGCTGTTGATTAATTTGATGTTGATGGTGTAGGGAATGGTTATGATGTTGAAGAAGGTTCAGATTGAGGGGGTAGGATAATGGGGAGCCCAGGGCCGTTGGGGAACTGTTATTGCAGCCACCGGCTCCGGGCCCCACCGGGCTCAGTGCATGCTCATCCCCGCGTGAGGATGATGCGCTGGAACAGAGGTTGCGTGATGATGTGGATGGTGCATTAGAGGTGGGAGATGTGGGTGGTGGGGATGGTGTGGGGTCAGGGGCGGTGGTGTCATTTGCATTGGGGTCATGGGAGTTGTTGGTTGGTGAACGGTGGTCTGTGACGAGACGTTGGAGTCCGGAGTTCCCTGAGGTACCCCCGACAGGGCCTGAGTTTGCTGCTGAGGCCCCTGTTGTGCCGCCACTGACACCACCGAGCTGTTGGAAGTGGGACTCTGCTGACTCCCGTTGTCCTCGCTGTCTGAGCAGGACTCGGCTGAGGAGCTCCCCGCTCCCCCCTTGCCCTTGCTGCCGCTGCTGCTGCTGGAGCTGCTGTGGGTCTTGACGTGTTTCGCGAGATGGTCGCTGCGCATGAACCGCTTGTTGCAGACTGGACAGGCGAATCTCTTTTCTCCGGTGTGGGTTCGAAGGTGCCGCTGCAACTCATCCGAACGTGTGAACCGCTTGCCACAGAAAAGCCAGTTGCAAACAAACGGTCGCTCACCAGTGTGCCACCGTAAGTGGGCCTTCAGATGAGACGTCTTCCCGTAGACCTTGCCGCATCCTGGTATATGACAGCTGTGGATGTTCTTCTTCCTTAGGTGGACACCGGCGGGACCGAGTCTCTCAGCTTCTTGGCAGTTCGGGCAGTCACAGGTTGCTCGACCAGTGTATCTCCTCTGAGAGCGTGGTGATGGTGCTTGAGTTACACCAGTACCAGCTCCACCTTGAGGACTACCAGCACCTCCAGGACCACTTGTAGCATGATGAGCGTGAAGTCCAAATCCTGGAGGACCACCTGGTAGCATTGACTTGTACGTATCTTGTAAGAGATTATGACCAGCAGTTGTAGCTGAAGTGAGTAAGTGATTTCCAGCTAAGGCAAGACTTGTTGAGTAATCAGCTGAATAATTAGCCATTTGTGCATGTACTCCAACGGTACCGCTAACGTCGAGCCAACCTCCTGTTGCAGCACCATGAACATCCCACCAGCCATCACCAGCTTTGATACCACCATGGGTAGCACCAGGCATTGTATTAAATGGCCATGATTCATAGGGATGTCTTCCATACACTGAACCAAGAGTAGCTCCTTCAACTTTGCCAAGAAGACTACTTTGATGATGATGTGAATCACTAGCTGGTTGTGCTGATGCTGTGCCAGGAAAGTACAAGTCGCTACCATACTGCGGAGCTGTTGAAGCACAAGAAGTGACTGGTGCTCTCGCATAACCGCCGGTGCTGCCTGCGCTACTGGTCGCTGTTGGTCTCTGGGTCACCCCTGTTGTTGTACAGCCACCGCCGGTATGTTGTGGTGAACTCCCACTGCTCTGCGGACTTTTTTTCCATGGATGAAAGCCTTTCCCTACAGCCGCGTCTGCTAAAGGCGGTGGACTCTTACTGCTCAGTTTATTACATTGAGCAGCAAGCATTGCCAATGGAGTACCACGTAGTCCCGGATGTTCCTGTAACATATTACAAATTATATTCTCATTAGTATATCATTCTCCCAGAAGAAAAAAAATAAATAAATTACAAAAAATATCTCAACATAAATACATTCTACCTCTGGCCATTTGAATAATCTAATTTAAAAATTTATAAAAAATAAAATTAATATATCAAAACCGGTATTATGAGTATAGTTATATAGTTATAGACCCGTTAACTATAATCACTGAGTCTAAATTGATCTGGAATAATTTTCACTTCCGTTTAGTCTATGATATGGCCAGCAAAGGAAAAAACTACAGGGGAAAAAAATATCAGAACAAGTGTGACGAACCGAAAAACTCATCCTGATGCATAATAACTCTAAATTGGAACTAGCCTTCCTTTTCTATTGATGTACATAAAAAAAATGAAAGGTTAACTAGTGGAAGTAATAGACCTATGTTTTAACATCGGCTGCTATGTAAATTGATCAAAGAATGCCGAAACAACTTTTACATATAAAAACACCTTAAAAAATCAAAAACCCATAAACAAACAATGCCGTGTATTGACAATTTACCAAAAGTTACAAAAAGAAATGAAGATAAAGGTGATTATGTAAATAAAAGGTTCAAAAATTAGTAAGTAAGTATATCGTTGGTTGATTAAATTTGTTGGATAGTTTTTATCGTCATGTTGGTTCCAGGCGACGAGATGTTCAACATGACTAGCAGCGGATGCTATTTGAGAAATTGGTGCATCCCTTGAACGGTTTTTGAAGGTAATGAGGCCGGAGGCACATCGAGCGGTCTCATCAAGGGCAGTTTCATGCAAATCATGCTGAGCTCCCGGACTTTGGGGGCGAGGTTGTCAGCTACCAAAGGCGAATGCCGGCACTCGGTATAAAGAAGAAAGAGAACTCGAGACTGGATTGAGGAAGAATGAGGGAGGCTGCACGTGGAACAGAAGGGAGATACGAAGAGGAAACCCAAGTATATTCGGACAGAAAGGTAAAGCAAAGGGTCCGCGCGGAAGTAGCAGGAAATTAAAGTCTGGCGGCCCACAGCCATTAGTAGCCGGCGCCATCGAGGCGACACGCCCCCCACGCGTTTCAACGTCGCACTAACACACAAGCTACCTTGGACAATCATGTAAACTCTCTCTCTACCCCATGATGAGAACAACGAACAGAGGTTGCGCAAGCCTCCATTCATTCACATACAATTCATTATCGTCTATCAAAAAGAATATGACCAGGTCTTCTTACATTCAAGTTAATTCTTTTTTAACAACAACAACAACAACAACAACAACAACAACAACAGTCTTTTGTTTCTGCCTAAGAGTGCCAAGTTTTATTGGCAAAGTAAAGAGTTTGTGCAAATAAAGAAGAATCAATCCCTCCGCCTCTATTCCCTGGCACCATAAAGCTAAAGGAAAGAGGGTGAAATACATGCGATGAAGATAGGAAAGCACACGGCGTATCTCTGCGGGTATATACGAGAACCACGCCCTCTCCAAGCTCAGTGGTTGTAGGTTATAGGTAGGGTAGGTATTGATCCAGCTGAACAATACGACGTGCCCTCTGGAGACAACGACATCTCTCAATTAGCTATCGAGGAACAATTCATCCTTCGAAATTCGACTTTAACTTGTCTATGAATTTCCCTGTGTGTGTAATGTCTACTTTTGATGTGATAGATCAGCATTGGTTGAGAAGTACTAGCATACTACAGTATAAAAGATAATGTTACAGTTGATGTTGAAGCTGGTTTTAGAATTACTAGGATTATCAGTAAATAAGAAGGTGTGTTGGGTGTGTTAATAAGGTTATTGATTAGTTCAATATTCAGTGCCAATGGATAACGTTCTCTGTAATTATTTGACGCAAAATGTAAAGGAGTTGTTACTGTGGTAGCACCACTTTGACTTGGGCGCCTTCAAGTCGCCATCGTCTCCCTTTCTCTTTCTGATGCCTCTTTCTTTCTTTCAACACACCTGTCAATTATTTTAGTAGTTAGTCAAGTCATATACAAAAATGCCTTTCTTTTTACTGACTTTTTATTCACGATTATATCGGACTGATTACCCCTTTAAAATGTAAATAAATGTGTGCTTCAAATACTTTCTTTCTTTATATAGGAAAAGTTAGGAGGAACTGGCTAGTAGAGTAAAGATCACAGATATATTCAATGTCGGTAGAGTTAAAAAGAAAAATTAAAAGGGTATATCTATTGGATCTTTTGTTTTAGCCGCGTGACGTCACGCCCATCATAGAGACCGTCTAGAACTAATAACGCCTGGGGTGATGCTACGCATAAATTAAAATCAGAGAGCTTGACCGGCTTTTTCACTCCTTCATCTTCTTGGAACTACAGCGGATGTTCGGAAACCCAAATTGGAACTTTTTCAATACAAATAGACCATAGAGGAAATAATCAAAGATATTACAAAAAATTGTAATATTTAGTGAATTTAATTATGATGACTTATTTATTGAAAGCAGAGATGATTTACATTTTTATTCATTATTTTTGATGTAATGAACAGCACATCTATTTAATTATCCAATCTCTTGATCAATTGAAAAAGTAAAATAATAATTTTTCTATATAAATGAATTTTTTATCAACTCTTTTGATAATATATTAATTTATCTATGTGTTTCAATTCAATTCAGATAAATAACCAGCTTGATCGATTGGTTTCAAGAATCGTTAACTAACTGTCTGACCCTTCCAACACAACCTCCATCTATATTTTATTCAATAGAAAAATCGAAAAATTTAAACTGATGGTGTTTTCATCAATCTGCTGGCCACAACATATTTACCGCACGCGACTCGACATATCGAACCAACAAAATGGTATCCATGAGAAACACCTAAATTATAGGTGTATACTGGTGCTTCCCTTATATTAGAATGACGATGGAATTGGGAGTGTAATAAAAGGAGACAACACACTGGAGTGTTGGTCGACAGCTATGAACAAGTAGCAGCTGGTAAGACAAGAATGACAGGAATGAAGTGACGTCGTTGGAAACCCCTATTCTAATTCCCTTAACTTTATTTCAATTGACAGGAGGATAGACAGTGTGTGAGGGTGTGAACAAGGTACACCAAAGGGTGGCCTTATCAAACCCTATCGTGGTTCATGCGGTAAACCACAGCTGACATCATGTAGACATTCGTAAAGTTGTGCTGCCTACTGATGACGTTGATGCTTCGTATGATGCCTCTTTCTTCTCCTTCGTGTTACCTTTTTGTCGTTACTTCCTCATCCGACACTAATGTGAGTCTCGCGAGTCTCAAAAGGACGCTCACAAATTGATCTCGATTCAGTAAGAGAAATTAAAAACGCAAGCAAGAAAAAGCGAGGCGAAGGTAATGGAGCTCAGACAAAAATTAGCCGTGGTGTACTGCAGAGCACGACCTGTCGGAGCACTTTTCTTATTTCTGCATGAAAAAAAGGACCGGCCAACTAAAAGACAAGAGAAATACAAAAAATAAAGTAAAAGATGAAGAAGGCATGAAGGAGGTGGAGAAGACTGAGTAAAGGGAATCGAAGCACCTGCCGACGACCTGGACGAGCTTTTGATTGGATTCACCTGCGCCGTTACAAATTTACTCAGTCAATTGTGGTTTCAAAATCTTATTTCGAATCAGTCAATTTCTAAGGTAACTAATAGATAATGCTTGAGAAAAATGGAATTGTTTTTTTTTTTTGATTTATTATTCTGACTAAAAACTAATAATAATAAATTTATCATTGTAGGAAAAGAGTCATTAATAAAATTATTAAAAAAATATAATTGACTGTAATTTATCAAGGTAAATAGTATATATTTTTACCAATTACCTGATAAAAGGTATATAACTATTTCTTATGTTAATTATTTGTTTATCAGACGTACACCACATCATGCAACTTGAACCCGAAGAGAGTGGTTGGAGTTGATAAGCTACTTGCTTCGGCAGTACGTTTTTTTTCCCCTTGCCAACGAAAGATAATTGCAACTGCGATTGCATGGTATATGTAAGTGCAACAGTGTATACTCATCTTCCACAGCCGTCGCTCAACATTAATGACTATGTGTTCTACATGTTAACGAAAAAGGGCCGTAAAGTAGAGTAAGTTTTTTTTTTCATTATTTTTTTATCAATATATTACACACACATCATACAGCGAATAATGACCTAATATTGTTCAAATATGAAAGGATCCTTAATGTAATTTAGAAAGATGAAAATTTGACTATTCTGAGAAAGTGCGAAGGACACATGAGAATTCTTGAAAGTGGATTTTAGCAGAGAGTTGGGATTAATAACGTTATTCATGAGTGACCTCGGGCTAGTCTGCATCAGCACCAAGACTTCCATCTGAACCCGTGGAACGTTCTGATGTTAGTTCCCACCATCATTGGCTACCTGTTACCCTTCCTCTAAATTATGTTTTTTAATTAAATCCATCGTGAGAGCTGATCACAGAGGTAAAGAAGCAACCTGGTCCTTCTATCAGTTCTTGTGAGCTTGATGAGCGCGATACCAAAGACCAGGTCCTAAGTATACCCTGAAATTTGCCGCGTGGCCCCAGGCCAACAGGGAGCTCCTGAGATTTATTCGGTCATCTTGTGGGCGCCGTTATTCTGTTCCCTAATCGAGCTTTCTTCTCTCCCATGCTCTCTTGATCAACGACTCTGTCCAGCTTCATTTTTATACCAGTCGGTTTTTGTCGATGAAATCAAATTTAGCTACAAAAATCACCCAAAAACCAGAAGCTGCATCAAAAAAGCATCAAGTGGTGGTAAAAGTGAACAAAATGTATACATACAAGCACTAAAGAAAGACAAGCTTGCCAATTCATTAGCACTCGTAAATCTGTCGCGATGTTAACGTTGAATATTAAGCAAGTTATATTACTGACCGCTATAACTTGTGCCCAGTTAACATGGTTACACCCCTTCCTTTCGTACGCGAAATGTATTTCGTATTTTCATTAACTCGTCCTCAATAAAAACGATGAGTCCTTCAAAATGAAG